TCAGTGGCTCCTTTATTAATAGAAGAGTATATGTTGTGCCAGGGAAATGCTCGAATCCTGGCGTTTCTAAAATGGTGTGAGAGCGAAGGTGAGTGACCTTTCAAGAGTCCTGTCAAAATTCTAATCTAATATATGGGGATGGAGATTTGACTTTGAGTAGTGAGCACACAATGCAATATATGGATGATGTATTGTAGAGTTGTACACCTGAAATCTATATAGTTGTATTAACCTGTGTCATCCCAATAAATTTAATAAAAAATTCCAACTACGTATTTTAACTGAATTCTCAATATATGCATAGAAAAAGATAAAAATTAAAGCAAAGAGAAATAAAAATATAAATCTGTCTTCCTGTGATTTTAATGTATTTACACATTTTAAGAAAAAAATCTGAGATTTCATTTAAAATGACACATTAGTAAATGTCATAACTATAGCTGATGCACACCTCTCAGTAAAAAAATATTATACATGTAATCTGCTTTAAAGTGTTGTATTATTAGGCCTACCCAACAATTGTACTAAGTCCTGGCAATATTTTAATTATTCATTCAACAAATATTTATTGAATGCCCCCTAGGTACCAGATACTGTTTTAGCAGCTAAAGATACATTTATGTTCAAATAAATAAAATCTACCTTCATGGCGCTTAAAATCCAGATCTCAAGTCAGAAACAATGATGCCAATGTGTAGTCTATCTAATTAGCAGAGTCCCAATTTGTTGAATATTTTATTTCAATCTCATAATTCTTAGAAAAGAAATAAATACATTCTGTTTTAAAAAAAAATTATAAAGAAGGTACTGCATTCTTTTCTGGTAGTATTTTGCTCTAGAAATAATTTTATATTGTGCATTTTCATTAGATCAGGAATATCACTCATCTGTCCATGAGGGAGGAAAAAAAATTATAGCTTATTGTTTTTTTTTTATTCTTTAGTTTCTAATACACTGAGTTACTAAATTTAGTCTTGTTAAATTACTGCACATTAAATAAAACAATTCTTCTATCCTTTATATCATTCATGGTTACAGAAGACCATATCATTATAATGCTATTTAAGTTTACAGAAGAATGTAAGCAAAAGACAAAAAGCTGCCTAACAAGAGGAAGACTGATAGCTAACAGTTATTGAGTACCTACTATGTGGTAGGCTGTAACCACTTTACAAGTATTAACTCATTTAGTCCGCACAACAAATCTAGGAGTTATAGGTCCTATTGTTATCTCTGTTTATCAGATGGGTAGAAATCAATAAGAGAAGTTTAAAAACTTGTTCCTGGCCACACAGTAAGTGGCAGAGCCAGGATTTAATCCAGGCAGTCTAGCCCCAGGACCCCCATTTTTAACCAATACATAATACTCAGAACAGTATTTTGAATTTTTTTTTTTTTAGCTTTAAACATAAAGCTACTTCTAAAACAACCGGTTTTGGGGGGGGGGTGAGGAGGTTAAGATTTTTTATTGGGAAAAGGCAACAGTGTTGGGGAATTGGGGGAGGGAAACAGCCAAGTTGTTGTCTTTCAATCTTAGTTGTGGAGGGCTCAGCTAGCTCAGCTCCAAGCCCAGTCGCCATCAGGCAGCTCACAACCGTTTTCAATCTTAGCCACAGGTGGGCATAGCCCACCATGTGCGGGAGTCAAACCGGCAACCTTGTTGTTAGGAGTACGTGCTCTCGTTGGCAGCTCAGCGGCAGCTCAGCTCAGGTGCAGCTCGCTGGCCCATGTGGGAATCGAACCAGCGACCCTGTTGCTCAGAGCTCACACTCTTAACCAACTGAGCCACTCGGCCAGCCCCTAAAACAACCTTTTAAAGAATGTGTATTCTAAAGAAAAAAGGAGGAGTTGCCTTGTTATTTTTCAAGACCTACTACCATGAAGCTATAGTAATAAAAACCATGTGGTACTAGGCCAGGAATAGACCAGTAAAATGGAATATATGGGAGGTTGGCCTTATCAGAGATAATATTGCCAGTCAATGAGGGAATGATGGTATTGGAGCAGTTGGCTCTCCATGTGAAAAATTAAAATTAGATCCTTTCACCTTGTTAAAAAAAATCAATTACAAAATGAATTAAAGCCCTAAATATGAAAAGTTAAACTGTAAAAAATATTAGAAAAAAACATGAGAAAATATCTTTATGACAACAGGGTAGGAAAAGATTATTAAAAATTGGAAGAGCTTAAACTGTACAGGAGAAGATTGATGCATTTAACTACTTTAAGACTTAGAAATGTCTCTATGACAAGATCTGAATAAAAGATCAATCTACAAATTGAAAGAATACATTTACTACCCCTGTGACTGATAAAGAATTAGAATCCAGGTTCATAAAGAACTCCTACATATCAAAAAGGAAAAAACTCAGTAGAGAAGTAGACAAAGAAGAGAGACTGCCAAAAGACAGAGAAAAATCTCAATTTTTCAAAAAACTTTAATCAATGTTCAACCGCATTGGTAATCAGAAATGCAAAATAAGATAACAGTGAACTACAATTTCACATTTAACAGATTGGGAAGAATCTATTAGTCTTATACATTATATCCATGTAACCACTTTGGGAAACAATTCGGCAACTTCAGTAAAATTCAATGTAGGTATATCCTATATGATTCTGGTGTCACACGGCAAAACCCTTTTCAGTGGGAATAAGACTTAAAACAGAATGTTCGTTGTAGCAGTTTGTACTAGTGAATGGAAAAACTGGGATTTATTTATAAAATGAATGCCAAAAGCAATTAAAAGGAATATTCTAGATCTACTTTTGACAATATGAATAATTTGGAAAACATAATGTTGAGTGACAGAAGCAAGTTACAAAAGAGACATACAATATAATGCATTTGAAGAATATTTTAAAACACATATTTCTATTCTGGGAATAAAAGGAGGAAGGAGAAGAAATAATATTTCTTTAAGAAAAAAACTAAATCAGATATAACAAAATTTTAACATCTGTTTACACTTATAGATAGATATAAGATGTCTGATATATATTGAGTTTTATTATTTGAAATGTTTTAAACTTCTTGATGAAAGTAAATTATTACTATGTCTTCACAGATTCCTTCATGATTCATGGTAACAGTTTTCATGGCACAGGCGGCCGTGGCAACAAGCTTGCCCATATGCGTTACACGTTAAGGCTCCTGAGAGCCATGGTCTCCCTTGAGGATGAGACTGTAAACACGGATCTTTGTGAGACGGGAACAATTCAGCAACTGATAGGTAAAACATAGCATATTTGGTACTGATGAAAGTAGACTATAAGTTAGAGGTTTTGCTTGAAATGTTTTTCTACAAAATTATTTTGTTTTTATAGCTGAGACACTCCTGAATATTTTCTTGATTTTTGCTTCATATTGTTGCTATAAATCAGTTTCTTTACTGAAACATGATCACTCATCCCTTAAACATTTGTTTTCTCGATTCAGGTACTGTTTCATGTAGGTAGGTCTATTTTTATCTCTCTCTTTTTTTTTTTAATGGGCTAGTGTTTATGTTTCATCCTTCTAATAATAAGATCACCACTTTTTGGCCAAGCCTTTTGGAGTCATTTTAAAAGAGGATAACATTACGTTTTCCAGTGCATCTGACATACTGGAACACCAATACACTGGTACATACAGAAATGTACAGTGGAGCTTCTTTTCTAATATGAAATATCAGGATATCCTTGATTTTTAATTTAGAATCCGCTATGTTAAGTCGCCTTATCTCCAAAATACATCACATGTGAGCTCAGTGTAAATTCAGAAATCCTACACAAAAACTTTTTACCCTTTGTTAGATAAAAAATAAATAGTCCTCCAGCCCTAACCTTTTCTGGCTTTGAAAAGTAGAGCTATTTTAGTCATATTAATATTCAGTGCTTGCCTCATGAGTAAGATATAATTTGCTGGATGGCAATTAATTACAAATGCCTACTCAAAAACTCTTCTACCTATTAAGTTAAAGTGCCTACTCTTCTATCATTAGTAGAGTGGAGTGGTGCTCTCTAATAATAATAATACTAGTAAGCAAAATAAGGGTATCAAAAAGGGGGCTAGGCAAAAACATTCTCTTCCTTGATGAGTTTGCTTAGGATGACCAAACCTGAAAGTAGATTTTCTTACTTATGTGCACATTTCATTGTACAGAACTCAGTCGTAAGCCCCCTAGCCTAACTGGATGGAAATCCAGTTTCCATATGTCCAAGAAGAAGTCTTAATCTTACCTGGGTGGGAAGTGGGGCAGGGAAATGGGAAAACAAATAGCAAGGGTTCTTTTCTTAGGACCTTCTCCCTTTAACTTGAAAGAAGCTTATCTCTATCAAGTGAGTTCTTGTTGAGTCTAACAGAGGGCTCTGCAGTAGTAATGTGCTCAACAAATATAACTGTATTGTAAATGTACATGTTTATACACCTTTTGTGTAGGCACTAGGATTACAAACATGCACAGAGCGGACACTGGGGACCTTTCCCTTAATGATATTGAAAGAAAAGACATATATCACAGAAAGACAGCATATGTTACCATGTTCCATCAGTAAGACACCTAATGAGTCATAGAATAAATACCATAGAAAGGAAAAGATTTGGGAAGTTTTCAAAGCTAGGCAATCTTAACAGGAATGTTTATTGAGTTGGAGTATAACGCTAGTTTCAAGAGGAGGAAAAAAAAGAGATGACCTTTCAAACAAAGGGACAGCATGAGCAGAGACATGGCGCTAAAATACGCATAATGATGTGTTCAGAACTAGCTTAAGTGGAGTCAGAGTTTTATGAAGATAGATAATATGAGATAAGGTTAATTGTCTGTCTAGTCAGGGGCCAACTCAGAAAGAGTTTTGAATGGCAGATAATAGAGTTTTAACTCCATCCTCTTTAGGCATGGGGAACCACTAGTGGTTTTGATCAGGGAAGTTATGTGTATAATGCTGTTTTAGGAAGAGGAATCTGGAAGAAATATATCAGATGATTTAGAATAGAACAAGAAGAGGGTAAAGGGAGGGAATTAATTAAAGGATACTGAAATATGAAGCAAATAATTCAATATTAACGTAACATGGGAAAGTGACATGCCTGCACCCAGGTAGAAAGGAGAATGAGATAATCTAGAAAGGAGAAGCAGACCTGTGGACAGCCAGCTGGGTTTCCTAGAAGACGATTCTGATAAAGGCACAGAGGCCTCTCCGTCCATGGCCTGTCCCTGCACCGGGCCTCCGACATGCTCAGCTGGGCTCCCTGGGTCTGATCCCCGACCTGTAATTCATCCTCACAGGACCAAGAATCATCCCTTCAGGGCCAACTGTGGAGATAGCCTGTGATTTCCATGTTCTTTCTATTTTGAAACATAGCTCCACACCTTCTACTAATACCAATGACCCCTTTAACAGGGGAAAAATGACTTTTGTTCCTCATTTAAAGCCTAAAGGAAAATTCCTTTTTGGAATTTTATTGTGAATGTCATTCCTTCAGTGTAAGTGGCTGTTTTCATGTCTTAAAATTTTGATTAGAAGTAAGGACAGATTTTAAAGGACATGGTAATACTGCTACCTAAAATTGTTGAAAACACCTTCAGATAGACATAAGGAGAGGATGCAGAAAGAAGTAACAAGGACAGAAAACATACTACGGAGGTCTTCCACCTTTGATTAAAATTGACCCAATTAGCCATGAGGAGAAGAGATGAGGCAAGCTGTGATCAGGCATTTTGGTCATATATTTCTAAAGGCACTCATTTATGCCTCATGAAATGGTTTTAAACGGTTTTGTTTACTGAGCAAAGTATCAGGTTGTTAAGGCCTCTTAATAACTCTCCATTAATTCTGTACTAGAACTTCTGTATAGATGGAGCTACTGATTTATTGAGCTCAAAGAATCCATTTATCATCTTCTGTCTGCAGGTTCTCTGCAACTATGCAATGAAAATAGACCCTTTTAAAATTGTTTCTCTAGCTGAAATTTTCTAAGAAGGGATTTCAAAATAGTAATTGATCAGAATAAAAATAGAGTGTCTAATAACTTGACATTTTAAAATGTTTTCATACCAGGAATCTTTAAAAATACAATAAGCAAGTCTAATGACAAGGAAGAGGCCATTGTTTTGGAAATTCAATCTGATATATTACTTATTTCATCTGGTCTTTGTGAACACAGTATTCCTAGGAAGGTATGTATGCCTGTGCATCAAAGTTTGGTTTAGAGCTCTCAATCACCTAACGCTATGAACTTTTTCTTAGTGCTTGTCCATAAAAGTTGATGTTCTGTAATCTTGTGAAGATTTAATTTAATATTCTTTTTTATAATTAGAGTATAATTACACAGAGTAAAGTATATAGATCTTAAGTATTTAGTTCAATAGGTTTTGATGAATATATACACTCATTTAACCAATACGCCACTTAAAATATAGAATATTGTTAACGCCCTATAAAATTCTTTCATGCCCCTTAGCAGCCATTTCCCCACTTGCCTCCAGGAAACTACTATTCTGATTTCTATCACCATAAATTAGTTTTGACTATTCTTTAACTTTATATTGATGGAATCATAGTATTGGTCTTTTATACCTGGTTTCTGTCATCTAGCATCGTATTTCTGACATATGTCCATGTTGTTACATGTATCAGTAGTTTATTCCTTTTTATTTGTAAATAGTATTTCATTGTGTGACTATACTAAAATTTGCTTCTCCATTGCCCTATTAATAAACACGTAGGTACTATTAATAAACATTTGGGACTATTATGTATAAAGCATCAGTGAACACTGTAGTACTAGTCTTTTTGTGGGCATAATGCTTTCGTGTCTCTTGGATTAATACCTGGAAATTGATGAGTCATAAAGTAGGTGTATGTATTTAAGAAACTGGCAAACAGATCACCCAAGTGAGCTGTACCATTATAAATGCTGTTTTGGGTTTGAATTGGGTTCATATCTAAAACTAAAAGTTGGAAAAAGAGCTAATTCCCTTTGATCTTTTTTAACTCCACAGCAAACTCTCAGAAATTGATAACTTAAATAGCAAGAGACAGAATTGGAAAGGTAAAACTAACAAATTATGAAGGTTTCAAGGTTTCAATAGAGTGATTTTAGGGAGAGGCAACAGGAACAGTAAATGCATACTTAGATCCAAGCTTTGATGCAATTTTTCCTTGTATTCTACTACTCTGCCTGTGCTCTTCTGAAAAAATACTCACAGTCTTGCTTACTGGGAACCAGAACTGAGCAACAATGCATGAGAAAGGTAATTAGCAAGGGACAAATATTAACTGGTAATAACTTCATATAAATTATTAAAGTTTTAACTACCATTTATATATTTATTTCTCTTTTGGGAGCATTAGAATATCTTCCATGATAAAAAATTTAGCCTCTTAAATTCATTGTTTTTATCTAGTATTCATCTGGCATGATTATTAGCTACATTCATTATACCATGGAAGAAAATCATGGGAAAGTCTTATGGTTTGTTTTTCTAAACAAGAGAGAAAGGGAAAAACAAAACATATAAAGGTACACTAAGCTGGTCTATTGATTGATCCCTTCTCTTAAAATGATTAGCCTTACAATAGTTTGTCTTAAATTCCTGAGAACAAATGAGTACAAATTTGGGGGAAAATATTGTATTAAAAGTACTATTTTCCTACCAGTGTTGTATTTTTCCAGTAGAAAAAGTTTTATGGGACAGGATGAAATGGGAAAGGAAAGGATTATTTATTTATTTCAAGAAATAATTTTAAATAAATCTCTTAGGAAATTTTTGGAACTGAAGGAGTGGATATAATTCTTCATGTAATGAAAACAGACCCCAAGAAGTTTCAGAGTGGATTAGGCTATAATGTACTTCTTTTTAGTACATTGGACAGCATTTGGTGAGTATTACTATACCCAACTTAGATAGAGTCACAGTACAAGGGAATTACCTCTAATAGCTATGTATGCCAATTGTCTTCCCCTAAAAATCACACCAGGAAGATAACTCTCAATGCGTTTTTTTTTCAATAGTCCAGAAATGATATTTATGAATGTCTTTTGGAAGGTAATCTTGTCCATCACTCAAATATAAAACCATTCTTGTATCTAAACTTAAATTGTTTTTTCTGTGATTTGAAACCATTCCATTTTGGCCTGGTCTGGGAAAACACTACCATCTATTATTACTCATACAATATTCTTCTTATACTTGAACACTGTTGAATTCCTCATTCATCTTCTCTTCAAGGAGCTGAAAACCAAACTTTGGAGCATTCATAAGAGCAAAAAACACTGCTTTAATATTAATTTATGAAATTTTATCTTGGAGAAAATTACTTGAGTTTCATGTATCATTCACACTTAATACATTTCTTTGGTTCTAGTTGGGTGGTATTATTGAAAGTCACATTGCAACACATTTGTTAAAAAAACCACTGATGACTGTAGATCAGATGGACACAGAACATTCCACCCGATAACAGCATACATATTCTTTTCAAGTGCTGTGGATACTGTGATGTATAAGAAATATACAGGGGTGCCAAAAAAATGTATACACATTTTAAGAGATGTTATCTATGTATTTCTTTTTGAAGTTGAATCACAGTAGCAATATGTCATATAACATTCGCTCAAAAGATGGCATTACTCGAATGAATGCTAGTGTCACCATATGACAGGCAGGACACTCAAAGAAAATGGCAGAAGCACAGTTGTCATTCGAGGAGTGCAAGACCACCGAGACGTGAGAGCTTACCTTGATGAGAATTTGCCAGGACAATGCATAGGACAAAGAGGTGCAGTTGAGTTTCCCCCACATTCTCCTGACGTAACACCCCTTGACTTCTACCTATGGGGGACCTTAAAGGATGCTGTATGTAAAAAACCTGTTACACTGGCAGTACTTTGGGAAGAAATTGAAACGGAATGCACAGCGATATAAGTGGACACTTGGGTCAACGCTGCTCAAGCAGTAGTTCACCATAATCAGAAGTGTCTGGACATTGATGGTAACCACTTTGAGCATCGCTTACAATTGCAGAAGTCAAACGTGACTTGTATTCATCTTTTGTTATCAGTATATATTGAGTATTGCAATTTTAATACAGTTTTTTCCTTTCTTAAAATGTGTATACGGTTTTTTTTGGCACCCTCTGTATATTTGGTCCATTCCTAGTACAGAGTTCCTAAAACTTGTAATTTCCTACTCAAGAAGAGCAATTGGAACACCTTATGTTATATTTGGTGTTTTATTCTCAATTCCTATAATAGCTCCAGAGTAATAAATATTAGTGTCTTTTGTTATTCATAATCCCTTTCTACCACATCTGAGTTTATGTTAATACAGTGATTTTTGGAAAGCCCCTAGATAACCACAGAATGGGGGTCTGGATGCCAGGGGAACCGACCATATGATTGATTAGAGAGTTAAAACTTCACCCCTACCCTCAATCTCCAGGAAGGTGAGAGAGACAAGACATTGAATTTAGTCACCAGTGACCAATGATTTAATCAATCATGCCTATATAATGAAGCCTCCATAAAAAATCCTAAGCTATGAAATTAAGAGAGCTTCCAGGTTGGTGAACACATGGAAGGTCTGGTAGAGGGCATGGGAGACCCATGCCCCTTCTCCCATATCTTGCATCTCTACCATCTGAGTGTTCCCAGGTTGTATGCTTTTATAACAAGCCAGTAATCTAGTAAATACACCGTTTTCCTTATTTCAGTGAGCCTCTCTAACAAATTTTCCATCTCGAGGAGGGGTGGAACATCTGATTAATAGCTGATTGGTCCAAAGCTCAGGTGACAACCTAGACTGGTGGGGACAGGGAGACACTGCAGTCTTTTGGGACTGAGTCCTCAACCTGTGAGATCTGATTCTAATTCCAGGTATAATGTCAGAATTGAATTAAATTGTAGGATACCCAGTTAGTGTCTGCAGAGAATCAGAGAATTGGTGTGGGAAAAAAAACCACACATTTGGTGGCCAAAAGTAAAGTATTGAGAACAGAGTGTTGAGAGGAAACACAAAGTTTTTTCTTTCATTTGGTGGCCAAAAGTGAACTATTGAGTATAGAGTGTTGAAAGGAGACACAAAGTTTTTTCTTTTATTTTACAAGCGCATATACAATATTCTCAGGATATGTCACATGCTAAGTCACAAAACAAGTCTTCAATTTAAGAGCACAGAAATTATTCAAAATGTCTTTTCTGACCACAATGGAATAAAACTAGAAACCAATACTAAAAGGAAATCAGGAAAACTCACAAATGAATGGAAACTAAAGAACAAACTCTTGAAACAACCATTGGGTCAAAGACAAAAACAAAAGGAAATTAGAAAATTTCTCAAGACAAACTAAAATGAAAACACCAATATACCAAAACTTATATAATACAGCAAAAGCATTACTAAAAGAGAAGTTTACAGTGATAAATGCTTACAATAAAAAAAGAAGAAAGACTCAAACAACCTAACTTTACACTGCAAGGAACTAGAAAACAAAGAACAAACCAAGCCCAAATTAAGAGAAGAAAGGAAATAATAAAGATTATAGAGCAGACAAATGAAATAGTAATAGAAAAAAATCAACAAAACTGAGTTGGTTTTTTTAAAAAGATAACAAATTGACAGACATTTAGCTAAGAAAAAAAGGGAGAAGACTCAAATAAAATAACAAATGAAAGAGTAGACTTCACAACAAATGCCACAAAAAAAGTAATAAAGGACTATTATAAATAACTATATGCCAACAAATTGGACAACAATAGAAGAAATGAATAAATTTCTAAAAACAGACAACCGACCAGACTAAATCAAGATGAAATCGAAAGCCTGAATAGACCAAGGAGATTAAATCAGCAATCAAAACCTCCCAACAAAAAAAGCCCAAGATAAGGTAGCTTCACGGGTAAATTTTATCAGATATATAAATAAGTAATACCAAGTCTTCTTAAATTTCCAAAAAATAGGAGAGGGAACACTTCCAAATTCATTTTATGAGAAACAGCATCACTGTTATACAAAAGCCAGACAAAGACACCATAAGAAAACAAAACTACAGACCAATATTCCTGAAGAACATGGATGCAAAAATCCTTTAGAAAATATTAGCAAACTACATTCAGTATCACATTAAAAGGATCATACACCTTGACCAAGTGGGATTTATCCCTGGAATCTAAGCATGGTTCAATATATGCAAGTCAATCAGTGTGATATACCACATTAACAGAATGAAATAAAAATCACACACTCATCTCAATAGATGCAGAAAAAGCATTTGAATAAATTCAACTTTCTTTCATGATAAAAACTCTCAACAAAATTAGGTAGAGAAAAAGCCCATAGCTAACATCACACTCAGTGGTGAAAAGCTAAAAGCTTTTCATGTAAAATCAGTAACAATGCAAGGCTGCCCACTTTCACCACTTCTAATCAACATACCGTAAATCCTAGCATAAAAAGCATCCAAATCAGAAGGAAGAAGTAAAATTATCTGTTTGCGTATGACATGATCTTATATGTAGAAAATCCTAAAGACTCCACAAACAAAAAAAACTTGTTAGAACTAATAAATGAACTCAGTAATTTTGCCGGTTACAAAATCAACATACAAAATTCAGTTACATTTCCACACATCAATAATGAACTATCTGAAAAGGATATTAAGAAAACAAATACAGGGCCGGCTAAGTGGCACATTGGTTGAGAGCTTGCTTGGGAGCCAGAGGGCTCAAGTTCGGATCCCATATATGAGGGCCAGTGACACTGCCCTCTACAGCTAAGATGCTGAACAACAGCTCAACCTGGAGCTGGGCTTCTGTGAGTCGCCGGCGATGGCATAGGCTGCAGCTCCTGCTGCAGTGGGTTGCCATGGGCTACCATGTGTGGCCAGCAGCCGCCATGAGCGGCAGTCCAGAAGCCGGCGACTGATCTGCCTTGCCTGGGAAGAGCGCATTGATGGTGCCAACTTGGGCCAGTGAAGCAACGTCCTCCACAACTAGACTGAAAAACAAAAGGACAGCAACTTGTCTGTTTCCCCTTCCCCGATTCCCCAATGCTGTTCCCATCCCCCAACCCCCCAATTAAAAAAGAAAACAAATACATTTGCAATGACACCGAAAAGAATAAAATACTTAGGAATAAACATAACCAAGAAGGTAAAAGACTTACACACTGAAAACCATAAAACACTGCTGAAGGAAAAAAAACAGACACAAATAAATGGAAAAACTTCCTGTATTCATGGATTGGAAAAATTAATATTGTTTAAATTTTCATACTACCCAAAGTTATCTATAGATTCAATGCAGTCCCTATTAAAATCCTAAGCTATTTTTTACAGAAATAGAAAATACAAGCCTAAAATTCATATGGAACCACTAATCTTCAGGGAAATGTAAATCAAAACTACAATATAATATCACCTCACACCTATTGGGATGGTTATTATCAGAAAAAGAAAAGATACAAGTGTTGGCAAGGTTGTGGAGAAAGGGGAGCCCTTTTACAATGTTGGTGGGAATGTGTTGGGTTGTCAGAAAAGTCATGATGCATGTGTGCAACATGGCACTA